TTGAATAATGAACAGTCAAGTAAGAGGGGGGGGAGGGAGGGGAGTGGGGGGGGAAGTGGGGGGCGGAATGAAAAATGATACCTTTGCAAAAATAGTTTCTGGATTAAACAGAACTAAGTTCTGCGGAACTGAATGATCATATTTTCCAAAAATAATCGTGCCTTCCGGGTTAGGGGGAACAAAATCATTTGCAGAATGCAGCACTACCCCACTGAAGTAACTCACTTGCTTTACAAACTTCAAATTGCCCCGTCCTGAGGTGGATCTCCATCCCATTCACTTTACGGTATATTCTGTGAAGCGCTCTGAGCCAGCTCGAAGCCGTGATAAGGCACTTTATCAAATGCAAGGATTATGATTCATGGGCAACTGCTTCCCCCACATTCACGAGACTCCAAATGGCCCACAGGCAGAGAGAGGGGTAAAACCCACAGCAGCACCAACCAGTGCAGTCTCATACACCCTTCAAAACGGTGTTAAACGGTGTAGGGTCCTGTAGCTCAGTGGTTAGAGCACTCGCTTTGCAAGCGAGAGACCTGAGTTGAGCTAATAACAATCTTTTCAATCCATGACTGTTTGTGGGACATTGCTTGCTTTAGGCTGCCGCGTTCGCCCACAAATATACCAATTCACACAGTGTGTTCTGTGAAGCGCTTTGGGACGTCCTCCCGACGTGAAAAGCGCTATATCAAATGCAAGGATTATTATTATTATTATATGATTAGGGTAGATGCGGACTGAGATGAACAAGTAATAATCTTTAGTTTTAATACAATTCACAGGTAATTGGGATCAAACTGGGGAGGACGAGTCTGCAGGGTTATGGGGAGAGAGCGGGAGTGTGGGATTGACTTGGATAGCTCTTTTCAAAGAGCCGGCACAGATACAATGGGCCGAATGGCCTCTTTCTGTGCTGTACAATTCTATGAAATGCAACTACTGTGCTTCGTGGAGTCCTGTAGCTCAGTGGTTAGAGCACTCGCTTTGCAAGCGAGATTGAGCTCAGGCTCAATTCCAGACAGTGCGAAACCTTGGGCAAGTTTCCTTACTCCACACAGAGCCTAATAATAATCCCTCCGAAAAAACAAAACAATAATAAATTGGTCATTTTCAATCTACGACGGTTTGTGGGACACTGCTGTGCGCAATTGGCTGCCGCGTTCGCCCACAAATATACAGTCAATTCACTTTACAGTGTGTTCTGTGAAGCGCTTTGGGACGTCCTCCCGACGTGAAAAGCGCTATATCAAATGCAAGGATTATTATTATTATTATTTGTAGGCAAATACGGCAGCTAATTTGCACAAGGCAAGTCCCATAGACATCTACAACCCAAGTAAATCTTTTAACCTGGTGGATTGTTGGCCAGGACCCTGGGAGAAACTCTTTTCTCTTCTCCAATTGTGTGGATACACTAATTTCGTTTAAAAAAAACTCAAATTATCTGCTCACGCAATTCTTCTCTTACGCCTAAAAAAAGCTTCCATTTTTACTGCACGATTTGGAATCAATTTCAGCTCCCAGATATTCTCAAGTGTACCTCGATCCTCAAGTCAATCACTGAAATAGGAATGTGGCTTAGAGCTGAAAAAAAACTTTTGTTTTCAAATGATTCCCACAAGCATGTACTGAAACATTTGGCCATTTTGCAGGATGGGGCGGGATGAGGATATAAATACGCTCTCTGGGGTAGAGTTTATGGAGTATTATTTAAAGAATCGGATAAACAAGAGTCAGTTCAGGCAAAACCAGACGGCTGGGAGCATCCTCAGGAACAGCGTGAGAGTGAAAAAGATAGCAGCCGTGAAAGCTGCATGTGCAAGAAAAATAAAAGGCAAATAAAGATGAAATGAAGTTCAACAGCTTGAAGAGAAGCCCCCACTAGGAATAGCTTTGCCAGCTCACGTCTCGTGAGCTCACGGGCAGCAACCTGTAGGTGAGGAATGATGTTTTCTACAAGACAATGCATCCTTCAAAACAACTAACTGAACAAGCATCTGCTTTGGAATAATTTTAAAGGGTAGGGTAGGTGCAGAGTGAGATGAAGGAGTGATAATCTTTGCACTCGATATTGCGTTGAAGAGTTCCAATGCAATTCACAGACGACTGGGATCAAATGCAGTCACTGTGCTTCTGTAGGCAAATACGGCAGCTAATTTTATGTTTCACATCGAGCTTGGTTTTGAGTAAGTGGAAGAGATACAAGGATGGGTCTGGACGTCTAATGAGCCATCTCAACGTGAAATGTGAAAACAGTGGTAGCATCTGCACAGCTGTTACAGAATGTCGCTCAGCCCAAATATGCATCGCCTCAAGCCAGTCACTATCTGCTGCAGTTCAGGAAGGAAGGAAGCAACAAGCGGGGAAGGGAGCGTTGGGTTTGTATGTACAAAGATGGAATTTAAGTCACAACATCGAGAATTTTTTTTCAATATCAGACAGGGAAAACTTCAGTCCAGTGGACCCACCAGTACCTATACTCCACCTATAAACCTATAAAGCACAGATCCTGGTATGTATATGGGTTTTGGAAAGGCTACACGTTATGGTTATAGCATCCATGCCATGATATTCTTCTTTGGGAGGAGGTAAGCCGAGCTGAACTAGCTCCAAGGCAACATGTTCGGCAACAGAATGTCGGATTCGAGTCAGCCCGCTGTGGCGGTCTCGGTAGTCTGGTTCCTGACTCAGGCGGGTCCGCAGTACTGCAGGGCACGGCTGATGATAGCACAGCCAGTCTGGCTCGTCGGCATGAAATGGAATGGCAGACCAATCACTGGGCGCAGGGAATCCTCAGCGCCTGTCAATCCTGCAAGCCAAAGCCCTAACGGGTGAGGTGGTTCTAGCCGGACAAGCAGCGGAAGAGTTTGCCAGACAGCGCCATCAATGCGGGTTTAGCGGCTTGGACTCCAGCAGTACACACTTTAGGGTCCTCAAGCCTTGGCTCTTGCCAACCTGCGCCTGATACTCTCCGGAATTAGATGAGCAGGATGCATCCCTCCAGGGAGAGAGTGCGCATTCGATTCCAGCAATCTGTCTCTGGAATTTCTATGTGTAGGTGGGATGCATGGAATTCTCAGTTTGGTCTTAAGCCATGATGATGGGTTTCTGTATGTGTCAGACGCCTGGCTGACCCCCAAAAATTGACAAAATTGTATTCTCTCAACGCCAGTTCACAACATCAGTGAAACAGGATTAAAAACAAAGAGCCACTATGGCCCAATAAAATAGCAAAACAAACTCGACAGACCAAATAGCCTACTCCAGTTCCTACCTTCCTGTTGATACAGATCTTACTGGGTACAACACAGAGCTGCAGGAATGATGGCCGGAACATGCTCTTCCAAATACACAGTCACTACAGTTTGCAGTAAAATCCTACGAAGCACTGTGAGACATCTCGACGTCGTGATAAGGCGCTACATCAAATGCAAGGATTACTTACTGTTGTTATACACACAGCAGCCCACCCCCACAATAAATGATGCCACACTTTCTTTGCAGTTTCCGCCGTTTCAAAAATGCTAAGCGCACTGCCTGAGCAAAAAATAGAACATGTTATGATCCGAACTGTAATCAAAGCTTTGTAAAAAAAAATTGCGAAGTTCATGCCAGTAACTTTATATGGGGCAAGCGCAGCCAAAACATTTTTTCTGAAGCATGTAACAAGTTGTGGCGTTGAATTAATAATTCTACTTTTTTTTTTGTACATAAAAGGCTTCTTTTTGCAAAGGAAGCGTTCGAAGGGTTGCGGGTGTGTGATAAATCACTGGCGGGTGGCTCGCCATGAAACACCAAATCTGGAATGTTTGAACAAGTTTGAAGTATTCTCTCTGCTGCTCGAAGCTGGTAAAAGTGCAATTTAGCTGCCAAGTTAATAGTCCCTAAATGTTGCCAAATGCAGATGAGTCAGCATCGAATACCAAGGCATTTTATTGTAGACGACCACTCTCTTTTGCCAAAAGGCATTTGGGAAAAGCTATAATTCACAACATGGAGTGGATCAATTGAAAGCCTAGCAGTTAAAGGATATCAGCAAAATTCAGATTAATTGCAGCCATTAACTCTTTCCTCATTGGGAATTTTTTTTAAATAAAGGAAACGCACACTGAAGTCTTTTCGCAAACATACGGCACTTACTATAACACCGAGAATTCATACGGACCAGCAACCAAACACAAATGTGAGGTGACGTTATCAGAACAGGTAACAACAACAACAAACAACATTTGTACAGCGCGTTTCACGTCGTGAGGACGTCCCAAGTAAATCTGCTGACAGCAACACAATTGATGAGATTATATATATATTATATATATATAAATCTCCTTGCATCTAGTCATAAGGTTGTGCGTTGAAGCCCTGAGTCAGGCGATTTCAGCCCAGACTCACGAGGTGAAAGTGCTGATGGAGGTTCCACCTTTCAACGAGACATTAAACCGTTCAAAAGTCTGTCTTTTCAGGCGGATGCTAAAAGATCCAATGGCACTATTGAAAAAGTAAAAGCCAATTTCCCTCGGTATCCTGGCCAGCTAGCCTCCAAAAATTGTTCATTCACCTAACGGCTGAATGGTGAGATAACAACAACTTGCATTCAGATAGGGCGCTTTACCCCGGACGGGGTCTCAGAGCGATTAAAAGACCACCACTCGGAGGAGCTTCAAGGTGATCAGAAGTCACAAAAATGCAAGTTTTTTTTTCTGTTTCTCAGCGATTTAAAGTCCACCCACTTTCAATTGGCATGCGTGTAACCACTTTTGGATACTCTTAAACGCGGTGACGGGTTTCCTCACACATTAAGACATCGGGCACTTAGAATTCATATGGACCAGCAACCAAAAACAAATGTGAGGTGACGTTATCACCACCCCCCCTCCCACCACCCCACCCACCAAACAACCCCCCCCCCCCCGCCACAAATAACCCTTTTAAGATGCATCACGACAGACCACCTCCCCATCTGGCTGGATACCTAAGCGTAAATGTATATAGAAGCTTACCTAAGATAAACAACTGCCCTCTTGCAATACTTCCTCAGCAGGAATGAGCTGAACCTGCCAGCAGAGAGAGAAGTACAACGCAGAGTAGGGTGGCCCTGATGAGTCAACACCTCTCACGTACACCTGTGAGTGCATTCTTCGTACAGCAGGACGGTACACAGCTATGAGCATTTACAGTCGTCCCTACCTTCCTGTACAATGCCAGACTTTGGACCTACAGCAATCACTTAGCAACTGCACTGCAACGAATACACAAATAACACTCTCCCATTACGGTCTCTATACACTCCATTGTGCTACCGCGAAAGCACGGGACCCCAAAGGTGACTCATTTGAATCCCACCCCATCCTATCCAACCCCATCCCTGAGCATGTACACTCCCTTTTTTTAAAAAAAAAAGAAGCAAAACAAGTATCTACAGTATACATCTACAGTATCTCTCCACGACTCAACAGTACAATATATAAAGTCATGCGTCCACTGCCTGGACTTTTAAATCAACAAGTCTATTGCGCAGACGCTCTACATTCACAGAAATTTACCAGTCTGATACCTGGTTAAGATTGTCTATAAAACTCTCGATACGTCTAACAAAATATTTCTGGAATGAGGTTGGAGGTGGGGAGTGGGGAAGCAAAAAAGTCACGCTCCACTTGTTCAAAATGTTTCGGTTGAAAAATATGGATATATATGTATAGTTTTTAAAAACAAGAAAAATCCTTCCATTCCCTCAAAACTCACAATTTCAAATTACTGCCCACTTATCAAAGGCAGAGTGTGCTGGAGTAAAAAATATCAAAGCTCGTTGTCAAATGCAGATCCAAGCTTAACCACATGAACATACTCACACATTAATAGAAATATGATCACATTGCATTCAACTGAATAAACCAGTTCCATTTGATCCATTACACTAGTGTAAAAGCCCGCTGCCAGATGGTGTGACCTGAGTCAGCAGGAACCCAAGCACACAACAAACACACACAGGGGGATGTTCACGCAAACGCAATCGTATTCCCGACACACCGGTCCACCCCATTAAAAGCGGTCCCACTCTCCGTACCGAACGACCAGTGCGGTGAAGCAGGGGTGGGGGGGGTGTGGGAGAGGGTGGGGGCCTGACACAGAAGCGATGCCCCCATTTCACATTCCATTGCAAGGCTATGGCATGGTTCTCTGTCATGCTGATGGAGCTGTTTTCTCTCTCTGATTTGACTGACTGACTGTCTGTTATGTGTGTGTCTCTCCATTGCTCTAACCTGGTTGCCTACCCTTGCTGATAGAGCTGTTCTCCCTCTCTCCAGACACACATGCATGTATGTGTCTCCTCTCTCTCTCTCTATATATATATGTATATGTGTGTGTCCCTGCGTATATGTGTCTCCATTGCAATACCCAGTGCCCAGGATGCCTGCCTGACTCAGGCTTGGTGTGTGTGACCCAGCATGATGAGTCAGCAGCTTTCCCACTCTCTCCCTTACACACACACACACAGAGACACATACAGACAGACTCAGAGAAACACACACACACACACACATGCAGAGAGACACACACAGACAGACACATAGATACACACACACACACACACACACAGAGAGACAGACAGACACACACATTGACACACACAGATAACACAGCCAGACAGTCATACAGTGACAAGAGAGACAGATAGACACACACACACACAGACACACACACACACACAGACAGACACACACACACAGACAGACAGAGACACACACAGATACACAGACAGACAGAGACACACAGACACACACACAGAGACACACAGACAGACGGACACATTTGCACTTACACACTCAGCAAAACATCGACCAACCCCCTTTTTCCCTTTTTTTTCCCCCTCTTCCCTCTCTCTTTGCATTTTCCGCTCCGTTTAAATACACATATATATATATATACATTAAAAAAACTTAAAAAACAGCAGGAAAAAAAAACACAGGAGAGAGAGACAGAGGGAGAGACAGAGGGGAAGGGAGAGGTAGGGAGGGAGACAGAGAGAGAGGGACAGAGGGAGGGAAGGAGGGAGAGAGACAGAGAGGGGGAAGGAGGGAGAGACAGAGGGAGGGAAGGAGGGAGAGACAGAGGGAGGGGGAGAGACAGAGGGAGGGAGGGAGGAGGAGAGGGAAGGAGGGAGAGAGGGAGGGAGGGAGAGAGACAGAGGGAGGGAAGGAGGGAGAGACAGAGGGAGGGAAGGAGGCAGAGACAGAGGGAGGGAGGGAGAGAGACAGAGAGAGGGAAGGAGGGAGGGAAGGAAGGAGGGAGAGAGACAGAGGGAGGGAGGGAGAGAGACAGAGGGAGGGAGGGAGGGAGAGAGACAGAGGGAGGGAGGGAGAGAGACAGAGGGAGGGAGGGAGAGAGACAGAGGGAGGGAGGGAGAGAGACAGAGGGAGGGAGGGAGAGAGACAGAGGGAGGGAGGAGGAGAGAGACAGAGGGAGGGAGGGAGAGAGAGAGAGGGAGGGAGGGAGAGAGACGGAGGGAGGGAGGGAGAGAGACGGAGGGAGGGAGGGAGAGAGACAGAGGGAGGGAGGGAGGGAGGGAGGGAGAGAGACAGAGGGAGAGAGACAGAGGGAGAGACAGAGAAGGAGGGAGAGACAGAGGGAGAGAGACAGAGGGAGAGAGGGAGGGAGGGAGAGAGACAGAGGGAGGGAGAGAGACAGAGGGAGAGAGACAGAGGGAGAGAGGGAGAGAGACAGAGGGAGGGAAGGAGGGAGAGAGACAGAGGGAGAGAGAGAGAGATAGACAGAGGAAGGGAAGGAGATAAAAATATATCAATGATGACCCAGACTCACCGACTCCCCGGGTCGCTTCCCCCTTTTTACAACGGCGGCGGGTGGGGTGTGGGGCAGGACTCGGTGTGTGGGGTAGTGGGTGTGTGTGTGTGTGAGGGGGGTGTGAGGGGGGGAGGGGTGAGGTGAGGGGGGGGGCTTCCTTTCCTGAGGGGGTGGGGGGGGGGGGAGGTGTCGGTGGTGAAGTTAACGGTATATCTCCGATGTATGTGAAGATATAAATTCCCCTCTTCCCGTTTCGGAAGAAAAATGAAGGAATTTCCCCCCAAAAAACCCCGCGGTCGGTGTTCGCGCGGAGGCCGAGGCCGAGGGCCGCGGACGTCATATGATGTTTTGTCACGTGGCTTCATTCATGAAGCTCTACGCAACCGAACAGACTCTTAAAGGCGCAGCCGCTCACCCGCCGACCCCACGGTGGGGGGGCACTGTCGGCGTTGTTTTACTTGTCGTCGTCGTTGTTGTTGTTGTTGTTGTTGTTGTTCTTGTTCTTGTTGTCGTTGTTGTTATTTCTTCTTGTCGTTATTTCTTCTTCTCGTTACTATTTCTTCTTATGATTTCTTATTATCGTTCTTATTTCTTCTTATTTATTATTGCTATTATTTCTTATTATTCCTTCTTCTTGTTACTATTTCTTGTTATTTATTATTATTATTTGTTGTTATTATTTCTTATTGTTATTATCTCTCATTATTTCTTCTTCCTGTTATTATTTCTTCTTCTTGTTATTATTTCTTGTTATTTATTATTTGTTGTTATTATTTCTTATTATTTCTTATTGTTATTATTTCTTATTATTTCTTATTATTTCTTATTATTATTTATTATTATTTATTATTATTTCTTATTATTATTTATTATTATTTCTTATTATTTCTTCTTATTGTTATTTCTTATTATTTGTTATTGTTATTATTTCTTCTTATTATTTATTATTGTTATTATTTTGTTATTATTTCTTCTTATTGTTATTATTTCTTCTTATTTATTATTATTGTTCTTATTTCTTCTTATTATTGTTCTTATTTTTTCTTATTATTATTTATTATTATCGGGATCCGTTACTGTGAAGCGCTCTGAGACGCCGTCCGGCGTGGAGAGCACTATACAAATCCAAGTTGTTATTATTATTTCTTATTATTATTTCTTATTATTATTATTTATTATTATGTATTATTATGATTACTTATTACAATTTATTATTATTGTTGTTATTATTCATCACTATTCATTATTATTCTTTTTTTTGTGGTTGGGAGAAACTCCCTCCCCCCACTCCCCCAACTCACTGACTGACTGACTGACTGACTTACTTAAAGTCAATTCACTTAATAATAATAATCCTTGCATTTGTTGGAGCAATTTTCACGTCTTCTAGATATCTCGAAGCGCTTCACAGAATGTACGAAAAAGTGAAATGACTGTATATTTGTGGGCGAAATGCAGCAGCCAATTGTGCACAGCAGTGTCCCCACAAAACAGTTGTGGATTGAAGCGACCAAATTATTATTGGGTTTTTTCTTGAGGGAATCGAACCCAGGTCTCTCGCTTGCTGGGCAAGTGCTCTAACCACTGAGCTGCAAGACTACTTCACAGTGTATCCTGTGAAGCGTTTTGAGACATGTCAAACAACGAGAAGATTGCATTTATAGAGCGCCTTTCACGTCGGGAGGACGTCCCAAGGCGCTGGACAGTTGGGTCGGGACCCGAGCAGGGGGGAAATGGTCAGGGTGAGGGGAGGGGAGGGAGGGAGCGAGGAGGGGGGAAATGGTCAGGGTGAGGGGAGGGGAGGGAGGGAGCGAGGAGGGGGGAAATGGTCAGGGTGAGGGGAGGGGAGGGGAGGGAGCGAGGAGGGGGTAGAGAGTCGAGGGGTGAGCTGAAGGTGCACGGCTGAAGAGAAAACGTCAGAGACGCGATGAGGCGCTATATCAGATGCAAAGGTTCTTATTATTCATAAAAACAATTGATAATTGAGTGCCATTGGCCACCGTGTTTTGCCCGCAACATACACACTTTACAGTATATTCTGTGAAGCGCTTTGAGATGTCTCGAAGACGTGATAAGGCGCTATATCAGATGCAAGGATTATTATTATTATTATTATTATAATGATGACGATGATTCCCAGGCAGGGCAAAACCTTCAGAACGTAAGGATTTGCTTGGCGGAAGACCAGGGTCCGTTCAGT